CCTTACTAGTAGTAACAAGAAGCTATTAGGAACAAGTGCCACGCTACAACAAGGATAACTCATTCATCATACATAAGTCCACGCATACCAAAGGCAAGCACGTGTCCTTAAACGGTCTGCTCGCTTGTGAAACGTGTTGGCTTGGAATTGACCATCTTTGGATTCTATCAACCCACAGCTTGGGCTGCTCAACATGCGAAGTCTTTTTTTGAACCTTGGAGCATGTAGTTGGGTGTGTTGGTGCTGAATTCAACATTGTGGCAATAATAGTACTAAGAGCCTTTTATGCCTTGGCAATCTTGCCAAATTGACCACAGGCAGGTGGAATGGTAACACTGGGCGAAGCTCCTTATGCCGGAGAAACCTGCCAGGCTGGTTGGAATTGGGAAAGAATTGGAGTTGAAGAAATATGGACATGCTGACAAAACAATACAAATAAATTGAGGTGATTGAGGAATTGGATGGAATTGGTACAAAACAGCAAAGATGTTTGTCTCAGTTTTCGAGGTTCAACGGTGTTTCAGTCATTTTAGCCTAATGTGGTGCCATGCAGCAGCTACAGGCCTTCGCAGTTGGTCGTGAGCTTCCGGGTGTGGCTTAGCTACATCAGTGGCGCAGTAATTGACTAGGAGACTTTCTAGCAATTCTTACATGTTTGAAGTAGCGAGGCAGTGAGCCTTATTGACTAGATAGAAGGTCTTGATCAGCTCAAGCTACCACCTCTTGCACTAGGTACAGCTGGAGCTTCTTCCAATCAAACTTCCAGTGACTTGCCTTGCTTCGACAGTTTGGGTCACTTCTTCGAGGGTTTCAAAGATATTCATCTACCAAAACAACATATATAAAAGACCATATAATATACATTAATAATATAATATATATATAGTTTATATATAGTTATATATAGAGTCAATGCAAATCTGCTTGCTCAGCCATGAGGATGAGACTGAAACATCCTTTGGCTCAGACAGCCGCCCAAGGACGATGTGGGCCCTTTGGAGGTTTTGGGATCGACCAAGGCGGAAAGCTCCCGTTTCGAAGTCGCCAGTGCACTGAGTTGACAAAAGAGTCAACATATTCAACAACTATTTGCGCATCGTTTTCGTGTGATGGATTTCTCCCCCATTTTGTTGGTGGAAGCTTCGTTTCGGCTGAAGATTCACAGAAGACGTGGGCTGAACCCAATTGCAAGGCTCTCGCGCAAAGAAACAGGCATCCCATGTAGCACATTTCTAAGAATTGGATCCACTACCGAGAGCGGACGTTACGAGGACGCGCACCTATCACATGAAAGGCGGCAGGCTGACTTCAATTTGCAAAGAAAAAAGTTCTAAATTCACCCTTTCCTTTTTAGTCAGGGACCGGCGATAAATCAGTGAACACAGTGACTTTAGCTGATGTTTGCAAGGTGTCCGTAAGGTTTGCCGTAAGGATGTGCAGGTTTGAACGATGCCGCAAGGCTACCGGAAGCGAAGTTTGTTTACTTTGATTCTGTTTCCTTTCCTGTTTTGCAATAACATACTACATGTGACCACAGTGAACTTGAATACCTCCGCCGTGAGCACAACGTAAGAATAGCCATGCATACATGTGCCACCGTAAGAAAAACATAGAAAAACGTAAGCCTTGCGTAAGGCCTACCGTAAGGTTTGATTTCTCGGAGAAAAGACACCACAATTTTGAACACCGCTCATTTTTTTGGGGATCTGCCCAGAGGCAACCGAAGGGTTTTGGGGTAGGCCAAAGGTTGGGCAAGGATTGGAATGTTGGTTGTGCGAAGCTTTGGTGCCGGCCTCGTCTGCATCAATTGAATGCTTGCGAGGTCAGAATGAAGACTGGATGAAGACGAATTGACAAATTTTGATGTTGGAGTATGTTGGAGTCAACCAATGGTCGTAGAGGAAAGCACTGGTTGAAGGTAACAACAGGAAGCGGATGTTAGGAAGCGGATGCAGGAGGCTGAAGGTCAAGGAATCAAGAAAGAAGTTAGACACAGAGGCTGGATGGAAAGTAAGCCAGAAAGAGAGGTTGGATGTAGAAGAGACAGGTCAAAAGGAGGTTGGAAGAACTCGCAAGAAAAGGAATTGGATGAAGATGAGATGGATGAAGGAGGGGACTTGGAAGGTCGAGGTCAAACTGGGAGGTTGCCCATTTCCACAAAGCTCTGCAATGAAGCTAACTACCTTCGTGAACTACCTTCTCACGTCAACAGTTGGCTTTCAATTTCAAAAGCACATGAGGCGAGAATTGAGCTTGGCACACTGCGAATCAAGGGCCTTTGCACGGACGAGGTGCGAATCAAGTGGAGCAGTAAATTGTGAAGCTATCTACTAAGTGATGTGGCCCTGTACCTAAGTGCTCAGCATTCGGGCAACTTTCTCTGAAAAGCTGTGAACACTTCAAGAATGTCAAGCATAGAGAAGATGCTCGTTGAATGCTGCTACTGTACTTCATCATTGGTCTACCGTCTGCATGACTTCTGATGATTTCTACTGTACAGTTCTACCTGAGCCCTGAGTTTTTGTTTGCTTGAGGCACGGATAGGCATTGTGGTGGGCCGCAGAAAGAGGGAACTCTTTGTCTACGGCCGCCTGGTGTCACTGCAGGCAAAAGGGGGCGCGAGTGAGTTGGATGGGCGGATTCTTTCAAGTCATCATCAGTCATTTTCACATTGTTCTGAGATGTTTTGAGTAGACATCTACTCTTTGTCCGAAGCTTGGGAAGACAAGTTGAGCCTTGTTGAGTCAAACTTGTGCCTGATAGGAGTCGTGCAACAAAAGCGGAGCCCTTTGCGAAGCATTGGAGCAGCTCTTGTTGCAGGCGTGACTATGCAACGACATTGTTGTGACAAGATGTGTTTCCCCACGCTGATCTTCGCATCTTGTGACTAGAACGGACCAAAGTGACAAACTGCTTGTTGTTTTCTCTTCTTAGTAAGGTGTGGTTAACTCCAAGACCAAAGACTCACAGGTGGCTTGCGGCATAAGGACAATTCCTTTTACTGCACCCTTTGGGACAAAACAATCTGTATATGCATATCATTGCCTTCCCATCCATCCATCCGTATCATATGCCCGTACTTATGATATTCTTGACTTGGTGTAACATGCGAATCAAGTCAAGTCGCCACAGAGGCGACTTGTCGTCGTTGGAAGCCCAACTTTCGACCATGTGAAGGGAGGGTTCGTTCGACGTAGGGTCTGGCCAGTTCGTCGCCAAGAACGTTTGAGCTGCTGTCATGATAGTAGCCTCTTAGTCTTATGCATGAACATGTAGAAAAATAGAAACACTGTAGTCACGCTATGTCTATTTGCATAAACGAGTGTTTTGTTTGGAGGTCACTGGACCTTGGCTCATGCAACTGCTCCTGGTGGCCAAACCCCTTGGCGTGGTGGGCGTGGCAGCCGTGCGCTTGGACGAGGTTTGGCGGTGCCTCGGTGGCCACTTTGCGAGGCCAAAAGCGTGGGCTTTGCGGGCGAGCCTGCGGCAAGACCTGATTCATTTCATTCATCCGTGCTTTTGCTCTCTTTTTCTTTACCAAGCTTTACCAAGTAGCGAAGAAACACAAGCTATGGCTATGATCGCTAAGCGGTGCCTCCTCACAAGCTATGACTTAGAGGGGAGTTATGTGGAAAGCTGAGTCGTGCACAAGTCTCCGGCTGAGGCTGGCAAAGTTCTGGAACATTGACACTTACAGCGGTGAAGTGGGCAGCTCAGTCGCTGGTTGGCCAAAGCTTCGATGAGAGTGTTGAGAAGCTACTGGAACGGTGTGATTTGGGTTGAGAAGTGACAGGAAGTCCAGAAACGTCCTTAAGTTTTGATCCAGAAGTGATGCTTTCTTGTTTGACTGATCCAGGACCTTTGCAGAGATCGACGAGTCATTGCTTTGTGCCTACGCGAGCTACGAAGACATGCGAAGAGGCCAGGCCAAATTCTAACGAAGCCTATGAACCAAAAGGCCACAGCCAGATGCCAAAAATTCCATTCGTTGATACCTGCGTACCAAAGTTTTTGGTTCTGGTGGTCTCAGAAGGATCGCAGTTGAGAAAGCCGAGGGCCACGCGCCGGGGGATTTGTTTACAGTGCGATACCCACTTGCGAGGATAATGTACGAATGGCTCACAACCTGCAATGCTATTGAAGCCGACTCCATCTACCAGCGCCTTACTAGTAGTAACAAGAAGCTATTAGTAACAAGTGCCACGCTACTAGGAACAGGTGCCTTACTAGTAGTAACAAAAAGCTACTAGAAACAAGTGCTTTAATGGCATTGCAGGCGCGGGAGAACATCCCCTGCTCTTGTGGGAGTCAACAAACCCACGTGGCGTGTCACCTACCAGGAAACAACTCCCTCGCTTACTCGCGCCTTCAGTTCCAGGTTTGGCTTCTCTGAAGCCGAGACTCCACAGGCGCTTCATTTGCAGGCCACACCCTTTTCTTTGGAGGCCTGGTTGGTATGTTCTCAGCAGTTGCATTTGGTTTGTGCAAGCGGAACTGTTGAGTCAACAGGTTTATCATTGATTTGGTCAATTTGGGCTCGTGGTTGTTGGGCGGTGATGGCCAAACACTTTTCTTGATGCCCCTGAGCCAAACCAAAGATGGTTTGTCCATTTTGGTGATGGTGCGCAACACCAAATGCACAAAATGGGCATGAATGAAGCAAACATCTGAGAGAAACCTTCCAGAAGCGAAAGTAGGATTGGACGGCTTGGTAACTCCCTCCATATGCATTTTCTGTTGACAACGACTGCGGCAGCTGCCAGGCTGGGCTACAAACGCCTACCTTTCAATTGAGAAGAGACCAGCTGCTTCCCAGAGTCAGTCACATCATCGAGTCACTCTATGAAGCTTGCTCTGAAGGGTTGGGGAGTTTGTGATTCGCCTTGAAGTTTTGGCCCTTGAGTTCCAACGGAAAACTTCATGACACCATTCGCAGATGTTAGAGCTGCGAACGTGCAGAAATGCTGCGTCACATGGTGCCAGCTGGAGGCAATTTGTAGCTTTTCTGGTCCACGGCCAACACATCGAATCTGCAAGCCCAATCTGATGTTGTGTGCCAATTGCATTAGTTTTCAGATACATTTTCCAGGGGTAAGGGGTGCTTTGCTAAGGACAACTTGGATGCATCGCCGGTATCTCCACTACAGAAGGCATCTCAGAGTGTGGAGAGGGCACTGAAAGCACCTATCGCCGTTGTTAGCTGTGAATATCTGGTGGCATTGCCCAGCAGACTGGATATGCCAGGAGCCCTTCGTCGGAAGACGCCGTGGCTTTTTTGACATTTCCAAGAAGGTGTCACTTGGAAAGAAAACATCTTGACGCATCAACCGGAAAGAGAATGGCAAGTCAGAGGTTTTTGGTGCAATTATGTTTGTGAGGAAGCTAGTCTTCGAAGGGTTCACTGCCCAAGCTGTAATTAGCTGCTTCCACAAGCTCAAGACTCCATGCCAAGGTCATTTCCAACCCTGGAAGGCATTTGAGCATTGCCAGGTGGGCGTGGCACTACTTGTTCTTTTTTGAAAAGTCACTATTGCCTCCGAAAGATACATGAAACACAAAAATCGCCTGATCGTCAGGTCGAAGGAATTCTCGGCGGATGATGCTAGATTTCATATCATCAAGCCAAGGTGGATGTTTCGAGAAAGAGCTTGGAACAAAAGGGCGTTGGTGCTGGGAACAGTCGACCCAAAGCACCATGGATTCTGGATGGAACCTTTAGGTTGTTTGGTTTCAGAAACGCCCACCTCTGCCAAGCTGTTTCACTGCGGTCACCAGCCGCTCTGTTAGGCACTCACAGCGGCCTCTTTTTAGCCTGTGACCGTCCCAGTTTTCGGATGCTGACAAAGAGAGGCTTCCTCCGGTCGCAATGAGCAGCAGCTGAGCTGGTCTCTGACTGGCTGACTCCCCGTGCTTGGCACGAAAAAGGAGAACAAGTCAACAGACATCGAAGAAAGTACAGGAAAGACAGACAGCCAAGGTAGTTTCGATGTGATTGAAAGGTAGTTTCGATGTGATGGACTCAGCTTCTTCACTCGCTCAATTTTTGTAGGTCTTTGGGGATCGTCCTGCCATCTATCCCCGCCACTTGAAGTGCATTATAGGGACAGGACATGTTGCTTCTATGCTATGGGGTTGTTGGATGTGGTTGGGGCCTTTCATTGTGTGAGCCAAAGGCGGTTGGTTGCCAGATGCGGCGGTGTGAAAGATCCTGGCCGAACTTCGAACAGGTTTTGTGCAATGGTCCGAACCAGTAGAACGATCCTATCGAGGTTCTCGCATGTTTTTTCGGATTGGTCTAATTAAACTGAACAAGTTGGTGCTTTCTCCAAGATCCTTCTTCAATGGGAACCTGGGAGGATTTGTCTTTCCAAGTATATAATACTGTATGTTTGGAACCCTTTTGGTTCACGTCTTTCCTTCTCTAGGTCAATTCCTTGGTACTTGGTGGAGTTTCCTCTCTTACACGGTATTGTGCTTGTCACCTCTCAGCTGAACCTTTTCCTGGCCTTGTCCTGGAGACCTCGCTGACAAGATCATGCCGCCGCACTAGTCATGTACTGTTTGTGCTGTATACAACTCCGGGAAACCGTGCACACAAATAGACAAACATAGATGGGGTCTTGTGTTTAACAAAAAGTATTTGACAAGACCGCGCGGACCGACGTAATAATATTTGCTCGCAAGAAACTCCGACTTGGTTGGAAGAGGACCTTCGTGACGTCAGGCTTTAAGCTTGCCATGCCCTTTCCACAGATCTCCTCTCAGAAGACGTCCTTGCCCTTGCCACGTGACAGGCTCGGATTGTTTTTTGTCATGCGTGTGTCTTGCCGATTTCATCACTACATGAATGTCGATTTACACAGGGAATGACCCGGGTTGCCGGAGGACCTTTTTGGCCGGTTATCCAGTGCGGGCAGCTTTTCTTCAGCCAAAGGAGCTAGATTCAGCTCTCGGACCTCGTCGACTTGAAAATGCCTGCTCTTTGCAGGATGACAACCTTATTCAAGAAGAAAAGACAAAAATCGCTCCAGCTGGCACCAAGGCTGGTTGTCTCTTGAGCTCGGGTGGAAATCGTTCACAGCCTCCAGAAGCATGTGGTGGTATGTATGTAACTGGATCAGATGTGGATCATTTCCCAATGGGATGCAGTTTCTGCATATGGAACTGTTCAGTTCTCAGAGACACGGGCACACCATGTGACATGCAATTGGCACCTGGGGTATGTGATATATAGCTTTTTCCTCTTCCCCATGATTCCTGCTATGAGTTGCATGGGCTGCGAAACATTGTTTTTGCATGTACAATGCAATGGGTCGCCAAGTTTCAAGACCGGAAGCTGCGCTGGCTCAGAGGGAGTCAAAGCCATGACAACCTTAGGAGGTTGCTTTGGACGCAACCAGAAACTGTAACTCAAGTGGGTCAGACTTTCTGTGTGTGTATATACATATATATGTATCTATATGTAGTATATCATATAGTATTGATATCCTTGACGAAAACATTTGTGCATGGTAGAAAGAAGTGGTCACTTCCAACACATCAGGCCTTGTAATTGTAGACCAGACAGAAGCAAAGAAGCTTTGACATGATGTCCGTCTGAGGCTATCTTTGCGCAGCTGTATCCGTCCTCTTCTTCGGCAGCAATTTTGCGGTCCTCGGACTGGATGGGATGTGATGAAAACTGGATGGAATGACAGGACACCGAAGACGAAACATCTCGTCCCCCTCGGCATCGATGCGGGCGAGGTGGTGGCAAAATACGATGCGGGCGATGGCATGCTCTTCCAGCTCGTGTTCCCTGGGCTGGATCGGCGGAAGCGACGTCCGCGACCGGTCGCTTCGACCTCTGACTCCCCGCTGTGTTACAGTTCAGAGTGCCAATTTGCTGGCACTTTAAAAGAGTGGCCCTCATCCGAACCCTTATACTGGGGTACGATGGTCGGGCATCCCAACTTTGCAGTATTTTCAAAAAGCAGGAACATTGCTGAACATAAGCCCTAAGGGCGTTAGTGGTTGTTCCCCAATAGCGATAGCTTAGGGTTGTACATTCTTTAGGCCGCCGGGCGCGGATCCACGGCCCCCAGCCTGGGCGGTGGTGTCCCGACAGTCGTTGTTGGGCAGAATCTCGGTCATGTTTCACTCATGCCTTAGTAGCGATGCCCTTTGTTACTGCTAGCTTCTTGTTACTAGTAGTGCGGCCAGGAGCCCCTAGTAGCATCCTTGCTCCTAGTAGCGATGCCAGGAGCCCCTAGTAGCGTCCATTGCTCCTAGTCATGTTGAGATAATGTTTTTGCCTCCTTGTTTGGTGGTGTGTCGCTCATGTTTGGGTGGTGTCTCGGTTATGTTTCGCGGGTGTCTCGGTCATTGGTGGTGTCTTGGTCATGGCTTGGTTTTGCCTCGGTATATACATCTATTATGGCTGCATTGCTTTTTGCAAGTCTGTGTGTGAACTATGGGATTGCACTTCAACATGTCTTGCTTTTTGAAAGTTGTGCTCGATATTCCATATGTGAAAAATAATCGAGCAACACGCGCCCAAAGTATTCGCCAAATCTTGGTGGATGCTTTGCTATTGGGGTTGTCAGCTGGGTTAATTGGATCTCCTGTATATATGATTTTCTTTATTCAAGCCCGAAAATGACTATGTATTCTATTGTATTATGCGCAAATTCTTACACGCTTTGACACCTTCCGAAAGACTGCAGGTTGTGCCTTGGAATTTGGTTCACTGGCCTTTGCGTCATGGTGCCAAGAAACCCTGCTTTCTATCCAATCGCTCCTCGCTAGCAACACAGGATTTGCCACTAGCACCCCTGGAAGTTGGTGCAGCGGTAATTGCTCGACTCGTGTCGAGGCGATGATTGGAGGTGTAATTTGGTGCAGCGGTAATTGCTTGACTGTGTACATCATCCAGCAGATTGGCCTTGGCCCAGGAGCAAACTAGCAAATACAACTGGTATACATGTGCCATGTTCAAAACCGTTGAAACATGTACAGCTAGAAGCTACCAGGTGGAGGCCCTCGCTATTATAGGGTGGAGGCCATTACTACTAGTGACCAAAAACTACTAGTAGCAAAGGGCATCGCTACTAGGAGCAAGGACGCTGCTAGTAGCTCCTGGCCTTACTACTAGAAACAAGAAACCACTAGTAGCTATAGCCACTAGTAACAAATGGGGTTTCACCAGCGACACGTGATACACATCGGTGACCGTGGTATACATCTACTTCTATAGGACTCGTGACCTGGGGGACCACCGCGCTGATCATTGGTTGGTTGACTGGCTTTTTTTGGGCTCTTTGGCCTCCAAAGCGATGCTCGGCCAGATGGTGAGCAGTCAGAGTTCTTTTCCTTGCACGTACTTTGACAGTCCTTTTGTAGTGGGATTATCGCGGACTATGACTATAACTATAACTTTCCTACAGTCATAAACCATCAACCATCCGGAATAGATCATGTTGCACGTGCCTGCAATACCTTTGTTTCTCTCTGACTTGGCATTCCTTTGTTTCGACTATACTGGAGCTGTGGCAGTGACTTTGGAGATCCTTGCAGCATGTCGTACTTTCACCAGGATTTCTTGAGACCTTTTTTTTGATGGCAAGAATCAAGAAGAGGCTTTCAGCTTGGGATGAAAGGGCACGACAGCCAATGCAAGGCACTATCCAGTTCAAATGTGCCCCCCTCATAAAACGCACCAATCGTTGCTGTTTCTTGTATTTCTCAGGACCAGCCTTGCTTAGAAAGCCCAGGGCTCAATGTCGTAGGCCGGTTTTGGTGCTTCTGATGTTGTGAATGTCTTTAGGTAATCTTTTCACTATTGATGCGATGGATCCTTGCCCAAAGTCGAAGCGATTCTAGTGCCAGTAACTTGGTTTTGATTTTTTCCATGGTCAACTTGTCAGGCCTTGCCTTTGCCATGGCCGCGTTAGCCGTAAGCACCCTCATCAGGAGCGAGGGTCGAACAGGAGACTGCCATAGTGGCTCTGAAGACAGTAGGTATGGGCCGCATCCAGTGTCTTGTCAATAGAATAGATTGAGGACCTTTGAATTCTTATGTAACAACGGATAGGGTGACAACGGTTGTGACCAAACATGGTTGATGTGGCCCACAGGAAGACACCCCCGCAGAAGCGCTTGCTGGGCCAGGGCAATCCGCCGGAACCAGCTGAGGTGGGCTGCCGGGAGGATACTTCCAAACCTGGAAATGTAGGGCTTTGGTCACTTTGGTTTGTGATCCAGCTTTTTCTTGAGACGGAATGTGAATGCCTATAGCGACTCATTCGCACCTTGATTGACGCCTTTTTCTTCTGACATTTTGGGCGGATCACAGACATGCTTTTACTGAAGGGGCTGGCTGCGTCGGATGCTCCCTGGGATGCTATCCCGCGGCCCGACAGAGCGCAACAGCGTGGAAGGGCCAAGGCTGAAAGACCACAATGACAAAGCTGTGTTTTGTAGAGGGCATCAAGTTGCGGCGTCCCAAGCCGACTTCAAATTTATCAATGAAAGCATCTAAATTCATAAATTGCATTATTTTGTTGGACAAACACTACTATATAATTATATATATATATATCTATACTATTATATATACATATGTCTCCTTTTTACTCGTATTTTTGTACAAATACTTTACATGTTTTGCAAGACATTTGCATTATTTGGTCCAACGAGCCGAGATTGGCAAAGGATTGGCAAAGCATCTCTTCGCTTCTTTTTCTTCCGTCATTTGCCTTGTTTGCAGGGCATTCTGGCCAGTTTGATTGCTGGAACTTGCAACCTGTCGGCACAATGTGAGTACTTTGAAGGTGGGAACTGTCAGTTGTTTAGATAGCAAACGATCGGAGACCACTTCAACTTGGGCAAATATGGCAAACCAGGAATGGCTTGAGCAGTTTTGCCGGCTTTTTCTAGCGAAAGACAATACTTGTTGAAAACTCGTTTGTTTGTTGTTGACATGCAAGGCAGCTTACATTCTTTGAAGATCTAGGATGCACTCCTTTTGTTGACAACGACACTCTTTAGCATTCTTTAGCTAAATTCTGCTTGACTTGACTTGTCTCATGGTTTTACAGTGATCGAGGCTATGGGCTAAATTTCCTGCCATCGACATGGATTCAGCAACATGTAGCTGGAGCCTCGCAGCAGGGATTAGACTACGTGCGAAGCCTAGAGTCCCAACGTCACACTAGATGGGCCCTGTCTCAAAATATGATCCAGGGATGCACAGATTTCAGTATGTGTATTTTTTCTGGTACAAGTGAGTTTGAATGGTACATACCCTTTTTTGAGCCACCAACGACCGACTCAAAAGCTCGGCAAGTTGTACAGCTTCTCACTGCATCTCAGCTTCGCGCATGAGGTCTTCAATCAGTCGATAGCTCAGTGTGACGTCCAAGACTTGACGACGCTCCTCGCAGTCTCGCGAATCGGGAGTCGTAACGTCGTGCTAGAATGTGAGTGTAGTACAAGCATGTACAAGCAAACGGTGGTCAAAAGGGGGGTCAATGCCAAGCACTTTTGCAAAACAACAACAACAGCAACAACAACAGCAACAACAACACCACCACCACCACCAACAACAACAACAACCACAACCACAACCACAACCACAACCACAACCACAACCACCACAACTTAAAACAAAACCAAAACCAGAACAAAAACAAAACAACAGACATCAAAAGGATGTGGACGTAGCTGAGGTTTTGTGGGATTTTGGCTGCGTCGATGCTGTGCCCAAGCGTTGAATATAGACTGAACGACTGACTTTTGAGACAGTGCGTCGTTTGAGTGCACCTTTCGACCAGCTGCTCTCCAGATGTGTGCACACATAGTGAATCCTGGGAATGTATGTGACTTTTTGATGGTGCAGATGTCGCCGAGGTACTTTTTGGTCTATTGCCTGTACAAAGGGAACAAGCCCCAGGTCAACCCTGAGATCATGTTGCCTGGATTCATTTCAGGACACTTGTACATGATGGTACATTTCAGGAAAGGTAAGAGCCTGGTTTGCTTTGCCGAGAAGGATGCAACATGCCTCAAACTAAACATACTCATATATTCATATACATATACATATCCAATTTCAAGAACCGCCATGGAGGAGTGATGTGGGCCATTGCGCAGTCGTGTTGGTTCGTTGCTAACGCAGCTTGCCTGGGCAGAGTTTTCCTTGTGACGAAGACTTTGAAGAGTTTGACCAGACTCTACTAAGAGTTGATTGATGGGCGGACACTTTTCGAATTGTGATCAGAGATGAGTGAACACCATGAGACACTGTCGGTATGAGCAAAAGTCTGTCACAAATCAGAGGCATTGTTCATGACATCCAGATTTGAGACCCAATCACCTTGCCATGCTACAATCAGGTAGAATTGGGATACTCCGCAGCCTTCCCAATTATACTGATTGGACCTGGCCTAATCGGGTCTTTGTGGTCTGTCTTCCTCTTCAAGGCCGGAAGTGAGGTCTTGTTCACAGCCACCACAGTTCATCAGTTGAATCTCTGATCTCTGTCATGTGATCAAAACCATGTACAGGACATTGAAGGCCATAGGCAACTTGGTTTGTTCAGCATTTAACATGAATGGATGGTCTCACTATCATTTAGTATACTGCTTGGACCATCTCGGCTAAGGAACTACTTGCTTTTGGTGGGCTACTTTGTGCTGGCTGCCATCTCATGCGGGTGCATTGTGGCCTCTAGAAAGACGACTTGTAGCTAGCTGATTGAGCTGGCATGCAGGTTACCATTTGAAAGTATGGTCATTCTGTCCTTTTTTGGTTCATGCAGAGGAAAAACTCACATGAACCAATGGGACACCAAAAGGGTGAGCCCTGTTGAGCCGACCTCGACAAGGCACGAAAAGGTGAGCTAGAGGGCGGCAGACAACAGCAGAGGTGTATGATGGCATATGTGTATGGGTGTGGTTGCAAATCCGTCAAAGCAACGATCGCGCGAGAGGCCCTGGCTTTGTGTTAGACGCTAGACTTGATGCATCTCGATGCTAGTAAAACTTCAAACAGTGAACTAAGCTGTCAGGTGGTCCTGGTGATGACTGGCGGCGGCGGCCAAGATGTGTGCGTATCCCAAGATATGATCGGTGGCGGCCAAGACCATGGGTCCTTGTCGTATCACTTTCCTCCGAGGCCCTGGCCAGAGCAGCTGGCAACAGAAGGTGCGATCTTCCGAGCCGAGCTGGGCCAAGCAACTCTGCTCGATTCCGCCACTTCTCCCTGCCGATTCAGACACTCTTGAAGGAGAAGAGAATCAGCAGGATTTGCTTTGGATGGGGAGAGTAAACATAATGAAGAGGCGGTGCAGTGCGCAGACATCATGGGGTGTGCTGTTATGGTGGGGTGTAGGCGAGGTGGGGCAGATGCAGGTGCTCCGGAAGTTTCCGAATCCAGGTTTCTGAATCCCGCGTTGACCCGGCGAAGCGTGGGTCTGCGGTCTGGAGTCTGCGGTCTCGTGTTTTTCTCTAACAGACACGATATTTTAGCTGAGCCTTTTGAATGCACCAGAGCATTTTGATTTGTTTCCACCAGACCATTTTGCATGCACTGGGCCACTGGGCCTTTCACGCCAGGCATTGGGGTGCCCATGCACATTTTGGTCATCGTGGGCAGGAGGGACACTGAGAAGCCCTGAGAATTCATCCGCCTCGGGCCGAGAAGCAGGAATGAGGTGATCAAGACTCGCTTGGAGCACGCCCTGAATACGGTCATCTTCAAAGGCCGGAGGGTCGGGAGCCTCTGATGTGAACATGCTGCAAATTCACCAGTTGCTTTGTTTGCCTTGAAGTGAACATGTCTCTTTTTTTGGCAAAGCACGGCTCTCAGTTCCCCAACTTCCTTGGCGGTTCATAGCTCTAGGCTCTAGGATTGGTCTGGGTTTCCAATGACAGATTTCCGATGATTTCCGCATGATACAGGTGTCTAATGAGATCGGGAGACAGAAAGTTCGACCCGGGGAGAGAGGAACCAAGCAGCAAGACCCAGTAGGAACATGTAGGAACCTGGGTTTCCCGATTCTTCGAGCGTCTCCACACTTCCTACCCCTGTGAGGCAAATGGCAAAGTAGGGTGGAGGCCATCACTACTAGGTTGGAGGCTCTCGCTTCTAGGTTGGAGCATATGACTTCTAGTTTGGAGGCAATTGTTATTATGTTGGAGGCCAGCGCTATTGGTTAGAGGTTAGAGGCCATGGCTATTAGGTTGGGGCCATCGCTATTAGGTTGGAGGCCAGCGCTATTGGGGTTGGAGACCATCGCTATTAGGTTGGAGGCCATCGCTTTTTGGTTGGAGGCCAGCGCTATTAGGTTGGAGTCGATCCTCGCCCGACCGTGTTGTCCCAAGGTCCTGCAGGGCGGTGATCCGATGGTCACTGTGGAGGTGGCCAAGACGCCTGGGCGAGGTGGATCCGTCAGTGCTGGTGCTGTTTGAAGTCGCTTGTTTTGGTTGGAAGGCAGTGTCAACCAGTCGAGCAGTAGGTATATCCAGTGTAAACCAAACTGTTTATTAGATGCGCTCGGTCAGGATACAAAGCAGAAAGTTATCCTGTTATCCACACCGTGTACACTTGCACAGCAGGAATTGGTGCAAGGTGCTCTTGTGTGCCAGGGCCGAACGCCACATATGTGAGCGCAGAGCGTTTGGCACTCCTGATGGACCTGGCTGATGCCATCATCGCAAAACCAGGCCCTACGGACATGACAAGTTGAGTTCAAACAGCAATGGTCCATGAACTTGTAAAACGGATCAAACCACATGTGTTGTCACCAAAGGAGGATCAAGGTCCTTGAGCGATGCACATCAGCTCCACTGATCGCAGGTGGGGGCACCACGGCGGAAATCGCCTACCGTGGCCTACCTGCCGTCTTCGATGCCACACAGGGCTTGCTGCACTGGGAGGACCTCGCCCTAAGGCTTTGAGGAGGTTTTTAGGGACGGAAGGATTGGTTTGTGGTCCCGAAGATCCCAAAGCGGCAACTCATGGATGGTGTAGCAGTGTCTTTTTTGGATGTTTCGCGACCTAGACGGTCTGGATTGCCAGGACTTCACAGTTCACACCTTTGAAGATCAAGGCTGGAGCTTGCCTTTCCGCAAACGGTCGAGAGCGAATCTGATGATTCAAAATCTTACCAGCTTGGATGGTTCATTCCTTGCAACTGCTATGCCAGCTTTAATCAAACCTTAGCACCGTGCCCGCTTGCTCGTGCAGCAGAACAGCATGTCCCGTTTCGAGGTTGTGGCGAACGCTTTGAAACTGCAGATGAGCTACCAAGTGTGAGGAAACCCGGAGAGGCGTATGGAAATGGATGGAAATGCCTCTGAGTCGAAGTCTCCACAAATACCACTTCTCGCTCAGGGTGCATTTCGTCGTTAAACACTTCTTTTGGGGTCAAGGAGTTGGCAGGTCAACTCACAGGGGTTAGACCAATCCAAAGAGAGCGTTCGCCGATTCCCACGACCACGGCACCTGCGGCACATCCGACCACACAATGCGACTGAAACAAACCACCCCTATGGGTACGGTGTCTGAGGTGTTGCGAGGAGCCTTGCGAAAAGCACGATCCACAAGACTAGTGGAGGACGACCCGATGTTTCATGATTTTTCCGCGGACGACACTTTTTGCGGGCGACATGAGCCGATGATTTTCAGAGTTATAGGCGGACATGATGTTGCAGGGTTATGCTATGTTATGTCACACGGAGGAAACAAATTCCCAACTTGATTGTTTCTGCAAGGATCCAAGTTTGCCAGGAGAGGTGTTGAACCCCGGGCAGCTCCCTCAGACAGATTTATGGTGGCTTTTCCATCCAGCATCATCCATGCTCAGAGGCAAAGTGTGAATCAGGAGGGGGGAGGCATTAGGTTGGAGGCCATTCTACGGTCTTTCTATCGTCACTTGATAGTCCACGCAGTTTGATGGCATGAGGTCATTGGTCCGGGGTCCGGCAACACCATCAGCATGCATTTAACGTGTAGCTGAATGTTCTTCAAGACCAGGGCTCCTTTGCGTGCTGCTGACTGCCAAGGCCGCGTATCCTGGCTGAAATCGAACAGATGCTGGTGGCCTGGCTGCAACAATCAAATCCGACTTGACATATAGGAAATCCTCAAGATGCAATATTTCATTTCACTTTGGAGAGAGCATTTTTTGCTGGATGCACCGCTCGCCAATAAGGTGACGCCATGTGTGAATTGCCAGCTATTTTCCGATACTAACACTTAGCAACAAATTAAAAGAACTGACTATGGATAATATGCTGTAAGTGACATGTTGCTTGTTATGCAAGGATTTTTTTGTTTTATTGAACTTATTCAATAAGCAATGTGGCTGGCGTTCAAGCCTGCCTGCTTAGCAGCTAAACTTTGCCTATATATATATAGTTGCATTTTAAGCACGAGCCGAACGCATTTCGACCTCAAGCGACATGTGGGTGGGTAAGCTTCTAGAGGGGCTAGACGGTGAGTTGGTGGTTTGCTTGCCCTCTCCATTGTCTACATCTACCCTTCCTTGGCTTTTCTTTGGCCGCTGCTTTGGATTTCTTTGAGGTATGATTTCCTGCCTTTGGGCCCTCTCAGGCTCCGTCCGGCCCTCTTGGAATTTTGACGCCTCTGTGCATCCTCCTCCTCGTCCTGGCAAAAGGCTGCTGAGGTATTTGAGTCATCTCATTTCCAAAGATGACGTGGATCGCTTGCATTGATAGCCTTGAACAGCTCATGATGGCTGTTGCGTTCAGCTTCAGTCAGCATCCTCGTGGAGGATTGGGGACGGGGTCGGTTGCTAGCTTTCAGTTTTTGGCTGGGCATGGATCCCCTTCAGCTCCGGTGCAGGTGCTGGATGTGTCTCGTAAGTTGGTCTCGAGCAAGATTCCTGCCGCTTTCCACATCGACCGTGCTTTCAAAGCTGGCTATTGGGCAAGGATGGCATTGGTTTTTAGAGCACACAGAACTTTCTAGTGCCTTGGTTCCTCATCCATTCAGGGTGACTTGCCTGATTGATTTGGAGAAGCTGGCGCAGACCGAAGGGCTACCTTCTCTGACTGAGGTCCAGGCTTTTTGTGGGGCTGATATCAGGATCCCTCCCTTGTACCGGGCAAAGTTCGCAGCTGAGGAGGCGTCTTGGTTGGTCTTCAGCGTTTCGGTCCAGGCAGCAGGCATTTGGCTCACTCTGGAGGCTTCTTTGTGTTCTTCAGGATTTGGTGCAACCCCAATTGTATGCTATGCTTCGGATTGTACTTCAATCCCGACGGAAAGATATTTTCAAATTTTCGACCAGGAGACAAGATTGAAGTTCACCGGATTGAAGAGGCTGACGAAGATATGGTTCCCATGGAATAGAACGCTATTGCAATCCTTTTTTAGCCTCGCACCCGAGAATTCCATCTTATTTTAGACTCCATAGAAGACATCATGTGCGGGTTGTTGCTGCTGCTGTTGCTGCTTGTCTGATACGAAAGCCAGCCTTCGTAGAAGGCGCCAGCTGTGTGGCGAACGAAGTGAGTAGTTAGGGGGTCCGGGGGGGGGGTGGTCCGCAAAAGGTATACGTAAACTCGGCACATGCTGGGGGAGGAGGTGCATCGAGGGAAGGTTTGAGGTTGTATTGGAGGTGATTTTTAAGGGGAGGTAATGCAAGAAATAAAATTTGTATCATTTATATTATCTACTTAGGGCAACTATAATATTTGGGAATAGAATTATAATTGCCTTGGGTCCG